GGTTTGTCCCTCGCTGCTTTTGGCGTCTTGCCCTACCCCGGACTTCTAAACGACTCCACTTATTCATGTGAACTGCCGCTGGCCTTTTCCACAGGTCTGCTCCTCTTTCCAGATGGGGCCTACGCAAGGCTACAACAGCCAGTTCATGAACCAGCCAGGGCCCCGTGGGCCCCCGTCCATGGCTGGAGGCATGAACCCAGCTGGTATGGGTGGTGGCATGAATAGCTCCAACATGAGTGGCCCGCTGATGGGTATGAACCAGCCCAGAGGCCCAGGGATGGGGCCCTTTGTTGGCCACGGCCAAAGGATGCCTCAGCAGGGTTACCCTGGACCCAGACCTCAGTCCATGCCTATTCAGGGCACCAAGAGGCCCTATCCAGGAGAGGTAAGACCACCAATGGTTCAAATAGACTTTCAGCAGATATTTTGTATTGGCTATTTGTGTTGGTGAACCAACTGTTTTTTTTTCCACAGCCTAATTATGTAGGCCAGCAGTTTGGACCCAATGGCCAGTTTCCCAACCAGCAAGGGCAGTACCCTAACCCAAATGCTTCTAGAGCTCTTCCTTCACCCAATTACCCTGGGCAAAGGATGCCGGGACAACAGGGCTCAGGCCAGTATCCCCCTACTGGGGTAGCCATGGGCCAATATTATAAGGTAAATTCATATTGCTTGGTCTTTGCAGTGTTAGTAGACACAATTTTCTTGAGGAAATTGTGTAATTTGGCTGACACTTCTGAAAAGGCCACATTCAGTTTAAAGTCACAAATTTACTTTTGGTAGGTAAAAGAAATAAAATATTAATAGCAGCTATCTTGCTTTCAACTCTGTATGCTCTTTCCTATTTCAGCAAGAGCCATTTAATGGTCAGAACAACAATTTCTCTGGAGGTGGTTATGGGTATAATCAAGGAAATGGGGTAGGTGGTTAAACTATTGTTTTATTTTCATACACAAATGTGTAATCATCCATTTGTACTCAGGGTAGTATGTACAGATTTGCTGTATGTTTAGTGACTGCATTCAGTAATCATGTGCCTCTTTGACTAAAGCCTCCTCGGCAGGTGGTGAACTACCCACACTCGCCAGTTCCTGGGAACCCCACGCCACCCATGACCCCTGGAAGTAGTATACCTCCGTACCTGTCACCCAATCAGGATGTCAAGCCCCCGTTTCCTCCAGACATGAAGCCAAACATGACGTCTCTGCCTCCACCTCCAAGTGAGTCATGCAAAGAAACCCCACACACGACCGTTTCATTACATTGATCTCCGCTCTGTCCGTATTACAAACTCAGTCACAGTCTATCAGAATAAATCCCTGAGAACCTTTTGATCCGCCACCTGCAGCTGAGTGGGGAAAAAAAAGTCCCATTGCACATTTATCTGAGATTCATGCATTTTTCACATCTACTCCGAGCTCATTCGTAATATATGTGCTTCGGTGGGAAAGGCTGAAACTAGGTGAGGTGAAAGCCAAACTTGAAAGCATCTTACACATTGATACTATGGTCTACATGTGAAGACTATGAATCCATCTAATCTCAATATTTGTTCCCGTAGCCAACCCCAACGAGGAGCTTCGTCTGACATTCCCCGTGAGAGATGGAGTGGTGCTGGAGCCCTTCAGATTAGAGCACAACCTGGCCGTCAGTAACCACGTCTTCCATCTGCGCCCCTCCGTCCACCAGACGCTCATGTGGAGGTGTGCATGTTACTGCTATAAACTGCAATTGCTCTTGACAATGACATCCTTAATATTTAATGATATTTCTGTCATTATTTACACACACTCGTTTTTCCAAACATATGTGATTTTCTTTCTACCATGGAACACGAAAGACGTTGTTCATGCTTCTCATTTTGATAGAATAAAAGTGAATGGTGAATAAGGGCTATCAGTCTTCAAAAATGACAAAAGACTGCTATAAAAGCACCACAACAACATGACTGTCTGTCACAAGTCTTCTGAAGCTGTGAAATGAAACTTACATTATCCACTACATTTGAATATATACAAAATCACACCACACAGATGGGGGATTTTCAGTCAATAATGAATTACATTTTGGACTTTTACTTAGACAAATCTATTGTATGACCTCAGAACACACTTCTGTTTAAAAGTTTGCGGTCGGTAAGATCTTTTTTAATGAAAAGTCACCATTCACTTTCATTAAATGGAATATAGCAGTGCGAACATTCTGCAAGGCATCTCATTTTGTGTTCCACAGAAAACAGTATGAGTTGGAAGGTCATGAGGACTATTCCATTAAAACTATGTCCTTCTCCTCATGTCCTACAGATCTGATCTGGAGCTGCAGTTTAAGTGCTATCATCATGAGGACCGACAAATGAACACCAATTGGCCCGCATCCGTCCAAGTCAGCGTCAACGCCACCCCCCTCACTATTGAGAGGGGCGAAAATAAGACATCCCACAAACCCCTGCACCTAAAGCACGTGTGTCAGCCAGGGAGAAACACCATCCAGATTACGGTCACAGCCTGCTGTTGTGTGAGTATTCCTCTGCTGCCTTTCAATAATGTATAGTCTGTCATTTAGCGGCCATGTTGGAGAGCTGTTATACAGCATGTGATATGAAATCAGATAACACTGATTTGAAGCAGCTTCTGTTCTCTGCCTTCCCACTACATTTGCTGGTATCAGTTTAATGCTTCCCTTTCTGAAAGCTGAACGGTACAGATACTGTATCATGTAAAGGATATTCTGATGTGGAGATGCTTGCTAGCGGGTTGTTATATGTTTGGTCTTGTTGCAGTCGCACTTGTTCGTGCTGCAGCTGGTCCATAGGCCATCGGTGAGATCGGTTCTGCAGGGGCTCCTGAAGAAGAGGCTCCTTCCTGCGGAACACTGCATTACCAAAAGTAAGTAGATGCTGCATTCCACATCTGTGGATGTCTGTCACTCTGTATTATCATCTTCATCAACCCCTAATCTTTGCAATGTCTCTTGTCTGTTTTCCTGCAGTTAAAAGAAACTTCAGTAGCGTAGCAGTGTCCTCTGGGAATGCCACACTAAATGGAGAGGATGGAGTAGAGCAGACAGCCATCAAAGTGTCCCTCAAGTGTCCAATCACATTCCGACGGATCCAGCTCCCTGCTAGGGGACATGACTGCAAACACGTGCAGGTAAGCATCGCTGAAGTGTGTATCTTATAAAAATACTGATTATGATAATGATATTTACTATTTCTCACTCATTTGCACTATGCAAATAAACGTGTTTGGGGATTTCCCACATTATCAAAGCAAAACTTGTGGTAAATGTGTGAATCAAAACAAATTTTGCAAATCTGTTATTTTGCATTGATTAAATGGAAATTGTTTTCTTGTGCAGTGCTTTGACTTGGAGTCCTATCTGCAGCTGAACTGTGAGAGAGGAACGTGGAGATGTCCTGTATGCAAGTACGTGGCAAACCACACAAGAATTGTTTTGGGCAGCCAAATAAATGTGATACGCTGTTCCTCTTGGCTCTGTGTTTTATATGTTTCTGTCTGTCCCCAGTAAATCAGCATTACTGGAAGGGCTGGAGGTGGATCAGTACATGTGGGGAGTTCTCAATGCGATTCAAAAGTAAGTTTATTACTCAAACATTGGATCACACAGTTTTTCAGTATGAGTCCTGTAAAAATGCACCTGAGATATGATTGTTAAATTATAAACATCCTATTATTTGCAGTCATGAATGTTGTTCCATTCTTGCAGTTCAGAGTTTGAAGAGGTCACCATCGACCCTTCGTGTAGTTGGAGACCGGTGCCCATAAAGTCAGACATTCATATAAAGGAGGACCCAGATGGCCCTCTGGCCAAGCGTTTTAAAACCATGAGTCCTAGTCAAATGATCTTGCCTAATGTGATGGATATGATCGCCCAGCTGGGTCCCGGCCCTTCACCCTACACCCCCCTCCCCCCTCAGCACGGAGGAAACAATGGCGAATATGGGGGCCAAGGTAGAGGTCAGCACCTGATCAGGATCTCTGTTCTTTTCTTTCTGTCTGTCTCATAAAACAGTCCTAAGTATTTTACAAGCTTCATTGTTTAGGTACGCTTAATTTTATCCCTTCAATCGTAACAGTCAGAAGAACTTACGCCTGTGAGTTCTTAACAGGCTGATTTGCCATCCAAGCTGTCTAAATCTCTCTAGCTCTTTGTCTCTGCTTTTCTGAGGTAATCACTCCTCACTGCTGTTTCTCTATTTTGTGAATCAGGCAATAGTTACCAGGGCCATGGAAACTTTGACTTCTCCCACAGTAACTCTGGTGGCGGAGCTCCCATGAATGACTTCATGCACGGACCCCAGCTCTCACATCTACCAGACGTGCCCAACAGCCTCATGGCCCCTGACAAGACTCTCGTCCACGGCATGTCTGACTCGGTAAATCACTTCATACCCTTAGATTTCCAAGCAACAAGAGCTGATGTTTTGGGACGTATTTTACTAGATTTTTTTGTATTAAAAACTAGGAACAAATCACTCCAAGATAGAACCCCCCTCACAATCTCTTTAAAAGTTTGATATTCCTTAAAGGTCCAATGATACTAGAGTAAAATGAAAATTGTCATCATTTACTCACCTCATCATGTCAACCTCACAAATTAAGATATTTTTTTAATGAAATCGACACATACATGTATGTGTGTCAAGCATTAATACAAACCTCATTGGTTCTTGTGCATCACATGTATGTGTTTCCATGTTTACCAAATGTGATGTGCCTTATGTATGCGTGTCGTTCATTTTTTAAATGTAAATAAAATAAAAATTAAATCTGTTTATTTAAAGTGATCGTACCTGTTTACAGGACTTGGTTTAAACCGCTCAATTCATATGGATTCATTTTATAATGCCTTTATAACCTTTTTGGATCTTTTAAGTTTTGGTTACCTGGACTTTCAGTTGAGGGACATGCACCTCTCAGGCTTCATTAAAATATATTAATAAGGGATGAAGCTGTACAGGGCTCGCAAAATCCCTAGCCTGACATCCCAGGGCTATTGTGTCTTTCAGTCGGGCTACCAAATTGAATCACTGCCCTGCCAGACAGGCCATCTTAAATACAGGGTTCCCGCGGGTCCTTAAAAAGTCTTAAATTTAATTGTATCAAATTTAAGGCCATAAAAAGTCTTAAATACCTTAAATGGAATGAGTCTTAATAATTCAAGAGGTCCTACATTTGGGGACGGAAAGACAAGAATGGATGATTATGGATTAATGGGACAATTAAGCTTCAAAAGGCTATGATTTCATTGAGTAAATAAGAGCGCTGCACGTTTCAAAGTCAAAATGCGGCGAAACCGCTATTTCTGTCGCTCCAAAAGCACCACCTAGTGGCAGAAAATGAATTTGCCTTTTCAAGAAGCCTGTCTGCTGTTTTTGTTCAGACTAATGTGAAAATCGACCCATGTTTTTATGCAGCAAACACAGTTGTAAATGTGAACCGGTGGATTGATAAGAAGCTAATGTGCCTTCTAAAAATATATTTATATGTTTTAAATTAATATAATAATTTATAGCCTACATGTGACTTTTTCCTAAAAATGGTTTAAAGACTGAAATGTGATGTTTATCATTTTTGTTTTGTGAAAACCTGTATCTGAACTGTGAATCATGTCATTTTACAGTTTTATGTGTTATCAAACATTGCCCTACCCCACTCATACGGCATTAATTTGAGCGGTTTGAGCAGGTCATAAAAAAGACTTAAATTTGAATTTAAAAATCCTGCATATACCCTGTAAATAGTGATATAAAATTTATATTTGTATTTTGAAAATGTTTTTGATTGATGTTTTTACTCCTATCCAATTTTCTTTAAAAAAAAATTTTAATTCGGTCTAGTTAAATTCATTTCGGGCTACCAAAAACTGAAGAGTGCCTGCCCAAAGGGCTACCAGGGATTTAGAAATTTTGTGAGCCCTGCTGTAGCTTCTCAGAGAGAAATTTATCATGCCTCAGCATGGTAAACTTTGTCTGAGAGGTTTGGTCCCTAATTCATGCCTTTTAAAGCCTCACCACTATAGCTATCAAAGCATGTAGCACCTCCAGCAATAAATTAAGAAAATTACTGTCAGACTTAGCCTGCTGGCTTACCAGTTCAGTACTGCCATTAACATTATTACTTTTAATACTAACATGAGGTGTTAGTATTAAAAAAGTATCATATTTTACACCTGCCATATTGATTTTAAGCTTGAAAAATCTAAATTGCCCCAAAAGCATGTAAATGAACCATTTTCCTCTTAGTATTAAGACCGAAGTATACTTTAGTTTTGTGTAGACGAATTTGTCAAATATATTGTTTTTAAGTCATCTTAGTTTTATGAAGATGTATGTGCTCTGGAATCATCTGCATGGCACCTGTCTTGCTCTCTGTCAGTCTATGGCTGCAACTCGAGCTCTCTCAGTCGGAGTGCTCCACTAAAAAAACATCTGGGTTACATTGAGAAACGTACAATGGAATTGAACATTTGGAATTGAAATTAAGTCTGTAAGCATAAGAAGCATTTGACTTACTAAAACTTTCTGTTTAAAGTTATATCCAATTTTACAACTTCTTGACAACTTAATGCCATGAACCCTAAAAGATTATTGCCATAAACCCCTAAATAATTATTTAAACAGCTTTACAGCTCAAATAATACTCAAATAATTCTACTTTGATAAATTTAATTTACATGCCATTTATAAAATTATTAGCTTCACATTCTTTTAAATCCTCCAAAAATTGGCTCCATTTACTTCTATTCTCAGAGCCTCATTGTAACATTGATTATTTTTTTTTTATATTATGCCACAAAAACTGTCGACTGAACTTAACATGTATTGAACCGGGTGTATATTTATATATTTCCGGGTATATTCCCAGTATTTTTAAGGTTCTTAAAGATCATTTGCAAGATCGTAACGTAAATGTATCTGTCTGTCGCTCTCCACAGCTTTTGCCAGAACTGGCGAACCCAGATGAGTTGCTGTCATACTTAGACCCTCCTGACCTCCCAAGCAGCAGCAATGATGATCTGCTTTCCCTTTTTGAGAACAACTAACTTCCTTCAGTCGGCCTTTAGGAGAGGCCCTAATTTGTTTGGCTGTCAGGAATTGAGAGGCATATGAAGACTGACTCTGTACTTTGCAAACAGGAAACAGCCATCCTTTTGCCTCTTCCTCGTGTAAATATCTCATTCTTTTACAAGCAACCTTTTCCACACATATATGGCAGCCATGTTGGTTGGCACTAAAGTGAAATCTTTCAATACTAATGGAAATACATGTGCAGCTATAATCAGTTCATATGAATACGTCACACAGAACTGTGTGTGTGCTCACTAGGAAAGTATTGTAGCATTTTTAATTCAGATTTTTTTTTCTTTTGTGAAAAGAAGACCTGAATAGAATATATATATATATATATATATATATATATATATATATATAAATATATATATATATTTCTTGCTGTACTGGCCTCTGTGTGTCCGCAATCTCTTGAAGGTTGGTTCTTCCAAACTCTACTACCACGGCTTCCCAAGACCTCGTCTGCTGGATGTTCACACTGTTTGTCTGTCCATCTCCCTCGAAAAAGCACAAGAGAATGCGTCAAACTGCACCTGGAAGCCTGTAAAAGAGACAACAAAAGGGAAAAAAGCTCATCTCGGAATCACCAGAATGATCTAACCCTCCCATCCCAGAGACTAACGATGGGAGTTTTGCGAAAGTCCTCCAAACTCTCACGCCACAGGACACGAGAATGTGTTCTGTTCTAGTACACCACGCAGCTTTGCACCTCATTTTGTAATGTGATTCATATGTCCAGCACCTTCAGACATATGCATCATGTTCTAAACAAATGCTAGAGGGCATCACGGCATGCATTCTTTTCCTTCTCGAGACAGAATCGCAAACATTTCAGCACTGTACCCATAATATTGTGCAACAGACTGTTCCTCTTCCTGCAACGATCTGTGGATTCTCCACACTAGCGGTCACAGAGCAAGAAGAAAGCAATTCACGTTTCAAAGGGAAGTCAGTCTTGTGTCATCTGTCTTCTCTGTGAGTTCTCTTCATGCATGAGGCCCTTGATGTTCGTGCCCCTCTTCTGACAAACTGCACACAATGTGGAAACATTCATCGTTGCCAATCGCCCCTTATTTTAGTGATACTGTTTCCTTTCTTTTTTTCAATCATTTCTTCTGTTCTGTTTTAATTCAGCCTTTTATTCATGAATTGTCATGTTAAAGTTTTATTTTATAATGCACAATATATTGTTCATATAATGGTATTTGTTTTTTTCTGTTATTACAATTGTACAAATGTACAAAAATGTGTACATTTATCACATGATGTCCATGGATTACCAAAGTTATGTACCCTGATTTGAGAATGTGGCCCAAATCTATTTTGACAAGCCCTTTTTAAGTTGTCACCCGTAGAATTTTATCAAATGTGTAATGTCTCACTTTTTAGCATTTTGTTTACATGTAAATTCATAGTAATTACAGAGCAAACAATGAAGAAAGTGTTTTAGAATATGTTCTATATTTATAGATTTTTACTTTTTAATTCAATTATATAATTAAGCTATATATATATATATATTATCTCAGTACCCATCAATGCATTCAATTCTTACAGAAACTGTACATTTCAGTAAAAACTTTTATATCAGCAGCTCAGTGAAGGCTAACAACATCCATGTGTACAAGATGGATTTTCTCAAAGAAATTTTTTTTTTTTCTTGATTTTTTTGTTTTTAAGTTAAAATGGCCCACTCTAATAATTGTCAGTATTTATGATGCTTGTAACGACATTTCCATGATACTGACGTTACTTAAATACTGTTGAAGGCTGACATCTGTACAACTGAATACCGTTTGGGATGTGTTTTGTTGGATGAAACATCACCGTTTGAAACATGTTTCCATTTTAAGTTATTTTTTTTTGACTTGCAATATTAGTTTTTAGTTTGTTTTTTTCTTCTGTTCTTCTTGGTGTAGAATTATGTACAAAAATGATGTTTGTTGTTGACAATTTAAATACTTTGAAATCCAACAGGAAGATGTGGGTTCAAGTTCTATAGCGTTTGTCTGTAGTTCACTTGTATATCCTTTTTCAAAGATGCACTGCCACATATTCGTTCCCACTTTGTAGACACAAACAAAATAGGCATAAACTGAACTTAAAGACTCCTAAAGTTGTTGGCTCTGAGCGGTCACATGCTATTGATGTACAGTCATTGAAGAGACAGTGGGTGCTGAGGCTGGAACAGAAAGGTTTGAATGAAATAGATTTTCTGTTCACTACTCAGCCACAGGTGAGGGTTCAGTGAGGGTCGAAGGAAAAAGGGTGAAGGGACACATTAGGGATGCATGTACATATGTAAATGATAAATAGAGACACGTTAACAGAAATGTATTCATTTTCCCCAGGGGAATGTGCATTGTGTATTTAGAATATGTAAAGCTTGCATCCTCCCATCAGAATCTAAATTGGGTAAAATGAATCTGTGTTTGTTAGCGTCTGTGGAACCTCTAAGCATTTGTTCACTTTTGTAAAATATTCATCCCACATGACTGAGGAATTTGGGGAGAGGATAAAAAGAGACACATTTGTTTTACATTTGTGTAATATTTAGCTTATGTGTATTGCTCCATTTCTTGTGTACTTAATAAGGTGCTACAGAAGATAATGAAGAAAATCCTGGGGAAATAATTTGGACAACAGGGACACGGGGCCAGGAGCGGTTCCAAAAGATTGTAACCAAAATCCAGAGTTTGTACAATTTTGATATCATGATCAGGAAAATTAAAAACAAATATGAGGTACAATCTGAGGTGATTGGCGCCAAACGTTGCAGTTGTCTTTGCTTGTACATTCTGTTGTACAATCATTTCATATTCTAAACTGGTCAGAAGAAAAAAGAAAAAAAAAAACAACAAAAAACTAATTGTGATTTTTAGTCTTGCAAAACTGTATGTAGTTAGATGCTGTGAGCTGTGAATATTTATCTAATAAATATGTATTCAGATGAAACAACCTTGCGCTTCTGATGTTTCATTTGGTGTGCATGCATAGCTGTGAGAATCTGCTGTGAAAACCGTGGGGGGAGACGGGATAAACACAAACATGAAACTTGTAAATAAAATAATCTGATATATAGCCTATGTACAATTTAATAACATATAGCCTAGTTTGATATATGAATTGGGTGTTTGTCAAAGATTGTATGCGGTCGGAGATTCCCGTGTTTACAACCCCGTAAAATAACCTACTGGAAGCTCTGTAGTTTTGCTGTATAGGCCTATAGATAAAAATATTAAAATTACAAACACACAATAACATTTTAAGTTACTTCCATTTCTGAAAAAAAAGAATGTAGGCCTAGTAATTGATGTTATAAATACACACGCCTGATTTTTGTTTTAATTATCCATCATACATAAAATATAAAAAAAAAACATTTGCAATCAAGACTGAAAAAAGTTAGAAGTGAATGTAAACCAGATTTGGCCCAGACTGTTGCTATCTGTGAAGCCAAGCATAAGAATAGCCTACTAATGTAAATTTGTTAACCCACAGTAACACATTTTAACAGATTAATCGCATATTTTCGTTTGCTGCATGCTTTTAAAAACACAATAAAATTATTATTTTTTTGTTGAGGAAATTAAAAAAAAGATACGTCTGGTATAAGTTGCATTTTCAGAAATAATAACGGCAGGCCTAATAATGTTATAATGTACCAACATTATGAACACTATAGGATATTTTAGTTCCCCTCACTTTACAACAAATCCTTTAAATTTAACCGTATCAGAACAGAATAAGAATTTAAAAATATATAATTCTAATGGATAAATATAATTGCAGTATATAATAATATATGCTTAGCAATAAACATGCCAAAACAAATTAATTTATAAAGAAACGTAAGGTAAAGTTG